GAAATACTGTACCAGAGGATAGTACGGATCCAAGGGATTTCGTAGGATCGACGGTCCACCTCGTGCGCTCAGCACTCTCTCGGTGTTCTCCAAGACAGCTTCATCCAGAAACGATGCAGTGTTTATCTCCTCCTCCGGTCGTACAATGACCACTTCGGGCAAATCGCCTGCCTTCAAGGTACTGCCGAACTCTTCAAGGGACATCTCGTCTAGACGAGATGTCATAGCCTCGAGGCGGACGTCGCCATCTTCCTCCCCGTCATACCGTTGACGAGGGTGTATAATTGTGCATCATCGTCTACGGTATACATACCCTAGATCAGGGTCGAGACTCGGCGTCTTGCAGCCAACATACGGCGTAGCCGTCGCCTCTGTACAGAGATTCTATGTCTCACTAGAAACAGGGTGAGCACGCACTCCGCATCGTCCGGTGTCACCCTCACTTCCGCTCCTTTGGAGCCCCGATGTTATCTACCACATCCTACGAAACACTGCTGACCCCGCAGTCTTCGTCCAGTGGATAACGTGCCACTCCACGCACATCTGGTGGGCCGTGCCCAAGATGCCACGGACTCTGTCCGACCACGCCATCAATGGTATGCAGCGACTGCTCCAAAACTTGAGCAGCGCTCAGTGGGTTACGCGCCACTCCACGATCAGCCCGTGAGCCACGCTAGGGACTCCTGTCCAATACACCACTGGTGTCTACCAACTCGGACATTCCAGTGTCTTGCACGTTGACCGTCTCGGTCCAGTGCTCTCGCCAATAGCGCTTTTGTCTTCCAGCAAAGATGGATTCATGACTCGCCAAAGCTCCACTAAGAGACGTGCGCGTAGCGCCCAAGTCTTTGACCTCCAATCAATCCATGGTTCATGATGTTCCAACCATGCCATTCCCAGGATGAGGTCATATCTTGCATCCAAGTCTAAGACTAGACAGCTTTCCACGATATCAAAGTCAAGAAACTTGACTCCGAGGTCCACAGGAACCTTCGGGTGCATTCCGTACCCCCGTCGCTAGACGAACAGTGACGATTTCACCCAACCGCGCTTTCAGTGCCTCAGCATACAGCTGACTTCCTTCCTTCGTGGAGCGTCGAGCATAGTTGCACGACGCCCCAGAATCGATGAGGATCGTCCATGGCTTCTCGAAGCCCTTTACGGTCGCCTCTACGACTAGCAAGCCCGGCTTACATACATGTTCCGTCTTCAAGAGCACGGAACTCTTCGGGACTGGGCCTTGTTGACCTATGCTTCCCTCAGGTTCAACAGAACTAAATTCTTCCCCAGTAGGTCGCCCCGCGCCTACTGAATGGTGTCGTTTTCCCGCGACGAACCAGACTGGTAGGCGTAGGAGCGATGGTTCGACGAACCTTGTCGCGCCTTGCGCAGGGGGCAACTGTTCCGAAGGTGACGGGTGTCTCCACTGACAAAACGCCGTCGTATCTGTGTATGCTGCCCGGCAGCTCGGAACTCTGCTCCCTCGTCCTCAGCATAGCTGAGATCCATGGGCACAGACCCGTCCGACGAGCTGTTGGAGTGTGCATTCCAACCAAGTCGTGTCGACTCGAAACTGAATTCGGGATTCAATGCCACATCACCGCTTCTTCAAATGAAGACGGATGCACACGTAAGACTTCCATTCTGGCCACGCCAATAAAGACGGTCACTGTGACCGCCTCACGATGGGGATCTGCTGCCATCCCGGCAGTGAGAGTGCGCATCTCTTGGACAAAGCCCACCAATTTCTTGTTGCCCTGTCGGGCGGCAAGAAAACGCGATTGCACGCCATACGCCTGATTAGGCGGCGAGAATACTCGTGAGAGCTGCATCTCAGCTCCGCCCAGGAAGGAAACGCAGCTTCGACCGAAGTGCCGCACGCCCATTCTTGCGCTCGACCACCGATCTTTGAGATGGCTAGCGCCACGCGCTGTTGCTCGGTTTGTAGCATGGCAGATACGATGGCCATTTCGACCTCTCTCGCCCAGAGCAGGAGATTCTCTCTATCCTTCCCCTCAAAGGCCTTAACGCTTATCATGAGCGGCTTAGGGTGGGGGAAGTCATCCGTCACTGACGGTGGCGTCATAAATGCAATTGATGCAAGACATCTTCTGCTGCAGGTGCTCTAGCATATCGTTTTTGTAGCTCAAAAACGCCTCTAGACGCGTACCGATTGCCTCGGGGCCTCGAGCAGCAAGGTGCTACACGCCCTCAGGGCCCAACAAGGACATTAGCTTGTTAAGCCCGTCGTGCATGCCCTGTGGCAAAGAGAAAAATTATTCTATCCTCACTCCTCGCAGAGGATCAGTCTAAACGATTCAGGTGTAGATTGACTACAAGTGCTATCATGTGCAGCGGGGCTGCCGTAGCTTTGCGCTTGAGGAGGCTTAATTTAGGTCACCGACCTTTTTTTTTTTTTCTTCACAAGAACCAATACGAGTGTAGCGGATCGCAATCCGCTACCTATAAGAGTAGTTAGCACCTTAACTAAGGCTACTAAACTCCTCAGCTTAAATTCAAAGCTGATTTTTATTTGTTTTTATCTGCGGCAAAGCCGCCTAATTTTAAATGTTTAGATTTTCCTCAATATATAGTATAATCTAAATACATGCAAAACGACTGGCTACCTATCCATATACCGTATTCTTGTTTGAGTACAGTCACACCATGCCCGTCTCGTATGACACACACTCCTGTTACCAGGGTACGTGTAACCCCGTTACACTACTTCTATCCGAATATCACCAACACTTTGTGTTCAATAAAGCTGTCGCAATCAACAACAAGGCTGATACTTTAAAGTAGGCGATTTCGAGAATCCGTTCTCTAGAGTTGGCTGACAAACTGAACTACCACAACTCCAGAATAAGCTCAAGGCAATCACTGTATTCAAGAATTTCAGTCTACCATCGTGACCATGCCCATGGGGATAGTGACACTGTATTCCTAATGTTATTCGCGAATACATACATGTAATCAACTTCCCTAAGACTGACAATAAGTGCGTCTTACACTGCATCGCCTGACACACATTCCAGAGCGCCAAGAAGGTTTCTCACATAATCCAGGCTCAGGGTACTTGTAACCCCGTTTCTCTCTCTCCCCATCAAAATTGTGAATACCCACAACTCATATTTGACTGTTGCCTCGTACGAGGCTCGCGTGTCTAAGACACCTTTACGTCCTGAGGACCGTCTTTATGATTTTTCCCTGCTCAATGAGCCCTGTGTCTACGACATGAAACACACCCAGCCTCGCTGGTTTCGAGGGCGCCGGCGGACAGAGCCCTTCTTCGGGTCCTGAATCCACCTCGTCGTGGATTCGGACGAATTCTCTCTGTATCTCGCTCTTAGCGAAACGACTGTAGGTGATGAAGATCACCGGAAACTCTCCTCGCTGGTTAACTTACAGCGGAGGAACAAGACAGTGGATGTGTGCGTAGAACGCCATCTTCAATTAGAGTTTGCTAAGCTCAAGGCGCAACGCCGACTTTCTACGTATTATCGCCCTGCGATGTATGGACTAATTCATCACGCCCCCGCGAGCTCTGTGGCCTCTTGCACGGGTGAAAATACGACTACGGCAGCTTAGGGCCATCGATTGAGCTCAGCTCATATCCCGGGCTACTCCAGAGAAGCGCGGGGTGTACGACGACGCGGAGCGTCATGATCCCTCTGATCATGAGCATCCACGACGTCCGGGCAGTCTGCAGCATGGTGCTCCAGTCCCTCGACGTCTCAGCGCAGACGCTGCGAAGGACGTCTTCAACGACGCAATTCACGCGATCAGTTTGACCATCGGTCTGCGGATGGTCTGCTATTGACATACTCAACTTGGTGCCCAGAACCCCAAATTTTGTCGACCAAAACTTCCCAGTGAATCGTGGATCTCTATCAGAGAAATTGACTCAAAGAGTCCATGTTGTCGATAGTCACGATCGATAAACAGCATCGCTGTACCGACACCTCCGATGGTGTCCGGCACCGCCGCAAGATGAGCCATCTTGCTTAAACGGTCGACAAAGAACACCACACCCGTGTTGCACGCCGAGTCCTTCGGCAGGCCAAACACAAAGTCCATACTCAAGGACTGCCAACACCCGGAGGGTAACGGTAGACTGATTGGCGGTGCCGCCGCGTTCGGAGTGGGTGATACCCTTTGAGACGTCTCACACGTGCGCATAAATGTGTTCGTTCATTTGTACAGCTTGGACTATCAGTAATGGCAACTCACAGAGCTGTACGCCTGCTCACAACCGAGATGACCACTGAATGGGGTGCCTTGGGCGCCAAAGACGATACAGTAATTATGTGCGTAGTGCTACTACGAGCTCTCGGGAGCAAAGAGATTAGAAAATCTGACAAGAAGCTGTCGGCGCGATTGCGCGCACGGTTGCAACGATATTCGTTGAATAATGGTTTGCTGTATTATATATATCACCGACTCGGCGGATACGCCACGTCACCGTCGTGACGTGAGCAAGCTCATAATCTGGCCTGCGTGACAACGCATCAGCCAAATCATTCTGCTTTCCTGGCTTATATTTCACCTCGAAGTGATATTCTGCATTCTGTGAAAAAGGAGAGCTACCTGGCCATCCTCTGCGAGAGATGAGATGTCTGAGTCGCATGATTTGTGCAGATCTCAAACGACTTTGAGCCGAGCTTTGCATCTTGAACTTGACAAGTGCATACTTCATCGCAAGTAATTCCTTGTCGTGGACTAGGTAGTTCTTCTCCGCAGCCTTATGCTAGCGAGATTCGAATACGATCACCTGATCCCGACCCTCAGCGTCTGCTTACAGCAGTGCCCAGCGTCACAGTCGACGCTGAATGGACGATCGGGGTCTGGCAACGCCAGTATTGGTGCATGAAAGAGGCTGTCTATGACCCCGTCAGAAGCATCTCGATGCTCGTTGTCCCAACATCATTCCGCATCCTTCTGAAGGAGAATCGACAATATCCGTGCCGTTTCACATATTTCGCGCTGTACTTGTACAAGTAGTTGGCAAGGCAAAGCCACCTTTGTTTCTTTGGAGTCGGCCAGTCTACAATGGCCTTGACCTTAGCGGGATACGCTCGAAGGCCACGCTACCCAATGAAGCACCCTAAAACGAGGATTGCTTCAACGCTGAAGTTGCACTTATCTGCATTAGCATATGGCTTATTCGTGCGCATGTACTCGAGCACCGCTCTCAAATGAACGATGTGGTTTTTCTCATTTGTCCTACCGCACACGACTGTGGATGAAGATGTCGTCGAAGGGTGTCTGTGCATCACTTGTATCACTGGGACCTCGCCCTCGATGCCTCGGCCCTTGACCAACCATGCCACGCATGGTATGCAGCGATTGCTCGGATACTTGAACAGCGCTCAGTGGGTTACTTGCCAATCCTCGTTCAGCCCGCAAGCCATACTCGAGATTCCTATCCGATGCTTTTCGAAGTTCACCAACTCGGATACTCCGATCTCTAGCTCGTTGACCGTCTCGGTCTAGTACCTTTGCGCCTATAGCGTTCTTGCCTCCTAGCAGAGGAGGGTTCATGACTCACCAAAGCCCCACCAGGAGTAGTGCGTGTAGCGCCGAAGGTCCAACCATTCGATACCAGGGATAAGGTTATACCTTGAGTCAAAGTCTAAGACTAAGCTGCTTTCCACGTTATCAAAGCCAAGAAACTTGACACCGAGGTCTGCAGAATCCCTCAGCACCATGAAATACGCCCCCGTCGCTAAGCGAACTATGACGATGTCACACAACCGCGGTCTCAGCGCCTCAGCATACAGCTGACTTCCTTCCTTCGTTGAGCGTTGAGCATAATTGTCCGACACCCCGGAGTTGATCAGGGTATTTCATGGCTTCTCAAAGCCCTTTGCGGACGCTTTCAAGACCAGCAAACCCGGCATGCATACATGATCCGTGTTCAAAAGCACGGAGCTCTTCGGGGCTGAGCCCTTCTGACCTCTGCCTATTTGAGGCTCAACAAAACTCAGTTCTTCGCCAGCAGGGCTCTTCGCGCCTACTGGGTGTTGTCTTAACCAGAAGACTGGTAGGAAGTAGGAGGGCTCGATGAACCTTAACACTCCTTGCGCAGGGGACAACCAATCCGAAGGTGACGGGGTGTGTCCACAGACAAAACACCGACGGATGTTCGAATGCTGCCCGGCAGCTTGGATCTCTGCCTCCTCGTCCTCAGCATAGCTAAAATCCATCAGCTCAGGCCCGCTCGACGAGCTGCTAGAGTTGGCATTCCGACCAAGTCGTGCCGAGATCAACTTGAATTCGGCATTCAATACCACACTCACTGCTTCTTAAAAGAAGATAGATGCACACGTTAGACTTCCATTCCAATCACGCCAGGGAGGAGGTCCTCCATAAAGACGGTCACTGTGATCGCCTCGGGGTGAGGATTGGCTGCCATCCCGGCAATGAGAGTACGCAACAATTGGACAAAGTCCACCAGTTCCTTCATGCCCTGTCAGGCGACAAGATAACGCGATCGCACGCGATATGCCTGGTCAGGCGGCGAGAACACTGGTGAAAGCTGCTGCTTCAGCTCCGTCCAGAAGGAAACGACGTTACGATCAAAGTGCCGCACGTCAGTGCCCATTCTCGCGCTCGACCACCGAGCTTGGAGATAGCTAGCACCACGCGCTGCTGCTCGGTCTGGAGCATGACGGACGCCATAGCCATCTCGGTCTCTCTCGCCCAGTGCAGGAGATTATCTCCATCTTTGCCCTCGAAGGTTTCATCGCTCACCATGAGCGGCTTGGGTCGGGAGGAGTCATCCGTCGTTGACAGTGGCGCCATGGACTAACATCTGTTGCTGTGAGTGCTCTAGCAGAACATTTTCATAGCTCGAAATCGCCTCTAGGCGCGCGCTGATTGCTTCAAGTCCTTGCGAAGCGAGGTGTTGCACGCTCTTAAGGCCAAGCAGAGACATCATCCTTTTAAGCCCGTCCTAGGAGAGCTGCTTCATCCTCACAGAGGATCAGTCGTAACGACTCAGGTGTAGATTGAATACAAATGCAACTCAGTGCAGCGGGGCCGCTGTAGCTCTTTCGATTAGAGGAGGCTAAGCTAAGGTCGGTGACCATCGTTTTATACTTAGAGCCAGTATGAGTGTGGTGGATCGCAATCCGCTTACTCTAAGAGTAACCACAGCCCAAACTTAAGGCAAATAGCCTCTTTCGTTCAAAATGTAAACTAAACCCTTAGGCTTTCCTAATTAAATAGTTAAACTGCATAACTACTGACTTCTTGTTTAGGTGTAGCCTCACCATTGTGTAATCACACCGTCTTGTGTAACCCACCCCTTCATACTAAAGTGCGCGTAGCCCCGTTACAAAAACTCACGTTGCGAGTTTGGTCAATTGTCACTCCGCCTGTTTTCCGGCTTAAATTGGTCGATCTTTTGAAGGTGAGTACTTGGAAGACGAAAATTTTAATAACTTACCTCTACTGCAATTTAATTGGTACAATGCCAGTCATTTTCAAGAAAAATCGGGATGTTTTTGATATTTGGCATGGATTAAAAACAATACTAGCTGCGATAATGTCAGCGCCGGCACTACAAGCTCGCGTGCACAGACTCCTAGGATCTCGCGCGGAGCTGGAAGCAACTAAGACGCTTTTACAGACGATTGTGCCAAGTCATTCACCATCAACCGCTCCGCTACTACAGCTGGACACATCGCAGACGTTGACATTGGCTACCCTACGCCGTACCTTGCGTGCGAGTCTGGAGAATCAGCAGTTGGTGCTAGCACTGAAAACTCTAGATGGATTAGAACGAACTTTGGATCAAATTTCTAGCTTGACAATCCAGGTTGGCCAGCTGGACATCATGTGCGAGGAGGTGGATGAGTTTTTGAAAACCACCAAGAGGGAAACGCAGCAGGTGCAGACAGAGGCATCTGCATTGGTGACTAAAAGGTTTGATGGCGGGGCTTAAGCCTGGTGAAATTACATTTTAACGCGAAGTTCTTACCTCTTGGAGTATGTAGGGAAAAGCTTCAGCAAGAGGGAAGACAGATTAGCTCATTTTTATCCCGCTACCAGCTGAATGACGAGGAGGTTCAAGCGCTTTTTGGGGGAGAACTAGCGGACAAAGACATGGACGTCTTCTTTCGCACGATGGAGCGAGTACAGCAGGTAAAAGCAGACTGCAAGACCCTAGTGTCCACAAGCGAAATCAATTGTGGTTTTGAGCTGCTGGATGCGGTAAGCAAATGCCAGGAAGCTGGTCTGGAGCGACTGTACCAATGGACGATGATTAAATGCGCACAAGTGGATGGAGAACCCAGTAATGAGCTTCATCGAGCGATTGTGCTGCTTAGCGATCGTACAGAGTATTACAAGTAATGCTTTCTTTTCTAAAACGATAGAGAAAATCACTCATAACGTTGTCGTCATCCAGCTATTGCAAGGGATGCCTGACAGCATCGCGGCGGTCAATAGTCGTTCGGCGTTTTCTTGCGGCGCTGACAGTCGGAGGACCAAATGGAATCCCAAGACCGATTGAAATGCATGCACACGATCCTGTGCGCTACTGTGGCGACATGCTAGCGTGGATCCATCAGGCTATAGCGGCTGAGAGCGAGATTTTTCGTGTGCTTTTTGATGGCGACGTCGAGATTAACCCTTGCAATATCACATTAATTGAACCATCTGACAGAACTAACGATGGGTCTACAGACGATAACACTTTTGGTGAAAAAGACACTGATGACATCGATGCAACATTTTGCTTGTCCATGGTCGGACATTCATTTGACGGGGTAGCAAAGCCGCTGCAAGTGCGTGTTGAGCAGACGCTGAGCTCCTCGCACGGCATTGTCACCACATTCAAATTGGTGCACTTACTCGCATTTTATTACCGCAAGCTCAACGAATTAATTTCTCACTCAAAGATAGCGCGTGCTCTTCAGTTTTGCCGCGAAGCTGCAAATGAAGCGTTTCGTCGCCAGTTGCAGCAGGTGGTGAACACAATTGCAGCCTCAGCCCATGATTATGCAGCCAGTCTTGCAGCTACACATATCACGCTTGATGCAACGCACCACTTGGTGGCTTTGCTTGATGTATCTCAAACCTCGTTATTGCCGGAGAAAGAGAGAGAAGCGGATGTAACGCCATTGTTCGAAAGTATTCTTCCAGCTCTCGAGCTCATGTGTCAGCGCAGCGTGACGGGACTTGACCCAGTCGACGCGCTCGTGTTCCGCATCAATAACTTTAATTGCCTACACGCACAGCTGTCTCGATTCCCTGATGCAGCTAAGTGGTACTTAGAAATTAGCCGTTACTTAGATTGTTGGCTTCGTAATTTGAGCGAGCTTCATGCTTCGCGCGTGATGGATCGATGCCAAGTCAGTACTTTGTTGCAATATATCAGACACTTTCAGCAGAATCAAGCGATTATTGACTCCATACCAGCAAACACACCTGGTCTGGATGGGACAACGATTACGCGAGTCATGGGCGATTTCTGTTCAATAATGATGGCGCTCATATTACCACAGCTTGATCAACTTGCACAGCCTGAGCTCTCTGACAAGGTCCGAACACTGACGTCGGTAACGCTTGCGAGCGCGTATGCACTCGTCTATGAGTTTGTGTTTGACGCAAAAAATGGCTACAACACAGATGTCGGATCAGTGTGCTCGTTGTTGGCGCCGGAGAAAAATCGTCGTGTTGTGCTTCAGCATACACCTGAGGAAATTCGGACTGTGCTTGAACTAGATGAAGACATCAAGTGAAAACCGAACGATCTGGTCAACGGGATAGAGAAATCTCTGCATCAGAATTGAGTTTATTCGATGACACTTCGGATTAAGGTATGATCAATGCGCACTTTCAGATTCCTTTCGGAACGGCATTAACGCTGCATTACTTAACGATAATACACCCAAGCTTACTTTAACGAGAGCTCCCAGCAGATTTTTTGTAGTAAGAAATGTCAATGCTATTTTCTGCTCAATGTAGTACAAAAATCTTTTTGGGTAAAATTGGCGTCAATAGAACCATGCAAAAGTAAGATAGATTCCAGCATGTTACTAGCGAATGAACATCACCAAATATCGATGAAAATCGGATATTGAAAGAAGCAGCTCACCAAGAACTATATTGAGCATAAGAGCCTGCAGGTAATCTCAGAATGCAGGTGGATATCCTTTTTTTCGAATATACAATAATGAAAACTTAAGTTCCGATATGCCCGATATTCTTTGAACTTCTCGCAGAGAAATTCGTAACTTCAAAGCAATTATGCACTGTCAAACGTGAGATTTGCAATCGAGGTTCTGACATTCCTATAACACCGGTTGTAATAAATTATCATACCGATTAAGCGATTAGATTGTATTGGACACAAAAATCGAGATTAATGTCAAGCACCTAGAAAAGTTGCAGCTCGAGGAATTGCGTTCTGGTTGGTGTCACGCAGTAGATTACTTTTGATTACCAACGTAGTTGGCTGCGCAACTGCTATCGCCATTTCTCTACCCTACCATGAAATAAATGGCCAAGATGAGGATCGCGTAATACGAAGAATTTCGTGCATACGACAGTCAGTGTTGCTACTGTCAACGTTTTCTGATGTAAAAAATCTAGCCTGAAATTGAAGTTTCACGTAGTAGAGAAACTAAAGTTAAATCACGATGCTTTACGAGTACGCGGTATTCTTGCACGCCTTGATCATGATACAGTAGATTGTAAACTTCCTCAGCGGCACTGTAGTTATCGATCTGACTGTCTGTAATCTTTTCTTTTAAATCAAAAGAGCTCTTTGTGTTGCACCCAGCTTGTCCAATGTTAGCTCCATACAATACACTTTTGTAAAATAAATTGTTACGCCTGAGGTACCAATTGTCGAGCGAATGGCATGTTTCTTGCATAGCTTTAACTTGTATTAACAATATAAATCAACTGTATCGGTAATAAAATAATGTGTTCCGAAATTTATTTACACATGAATGTAGCCAATCAAAGAAGTTTCTCGTCTTCAAATAGTGGGAGTCGCGCGCCTCTCGCAGGTTTTGTTGAGGTGCGCGATCCTAAGTGGCGCAGCAATTAATTAGACAGACGACACTAGTATATAATATAGCATATGTAGCACAGTGAACCTCATTGGCGCTCTGACTGCGGCCTTGTGCAATCAGCCGTGCAGTGCCATTGATCTGACCAAGGAGGGGGGGGGGGGGCACTTCGCGCGCGATAGAAAGCCAGAGCAAGG